CTATATATTATATTATATAAATTCGAATATTTTCCATATAATATTGTATTACGGTGTTGAGTGTAAATATACATTTTATTTTGCTTAAAAATCTCGGGAAACGAGTGGAAGTGGGTGCTGATATGCTTATTGCAGAGTTGGGAAAAGCTCGCAGGGAACGCGCTGCAGGTGGTAGATGTTGTTGATTGTAAGAGTCATGCTGAGGGGGTATGAAGATTTGAGAGGGATGATGTAAATGGGGAAACACTCGCGGGGTTTCGATGACGGTACTGGGGTATATCTGAGTTTGAGAAGTATACCTGCTAAATAATGATTAAACTAACATTTATGGTAAAAATGCATAAAAACTTATATTTGTAATTGTTTTTTTTTTCTTTCAAACATCACTTTATATATTTTACTAGGGATAATACATTTATGTTGTTGACTTTGAAAAGTCCGTTTCTTTTGTACACCTATATGAGCGATAGTTCGAGTAAAAATGGTCAATTAATTGACATCCTTGAAGTTGGTCCCACACTCCTCGCCCCAAGTGTCATCATCATGTCACTCATAACTCATGCCAATATAATATTATTGTAGTCTGCAAAAATAAAACAATTCAAAACTGTTACAACACAATTGGAAAAGTGTCAAATTTAAGTCAGAATCGATCTTTCGAATTTTGTCTCTGGTTTTGTCTTGGAAAAAATCCAAATTAAATATTAAGTTATACATTTTGTCAAACAGTTGCTAATTAGTTGCAAAATGTATGTATGAGTTTCGTGCAGTTATTATTAAATAATTGAGCTAACTTAACGGAAGTTATTATCTGATACAGAAGACAAATAGGTATTATATAATGTGCTATTTGTATAATAAATATTCATTATTATTAATTGTACCTTATTTGAGTTTCCGTAGGCAGCAGTGCCCATTATGTCAGTGATTCACAGATATATATATATATATATATATATATATATATATTGATTACATAATACATCATTAAAACTATTTGATGAGTGATTCAAGAATACACCAGCACTATACTAATAATTATAAATGTCGGAGGGATGACGTGTAGGATATAATATTATGTCCAAAGATGATGTATATACGATAAAATAAATAAAGAGCAAATATCGGTGTTGAAATCGTATATATAAAAGTTGATCGCCATGTCAACGTGTTTAAAAGCGTTGATTGTAAACGTCATTAAAATTTTATTATTTATAAACGACTTAATGATCAGTACCTTAACTATAATTTTTTCGTGAAAACTGGCGGAGGAACGAATTTGATGGTGGCCGTACCGGCGTAGATTGAGTTTTATTGAAGTCCTGATTCAGACAGCGATTCCAGAATCTTTGAATTTTCTATTAGGAGTATATATTATGTTGAACAACGGGCCATGTCATGTCCATTACTGTTTGTGTGAGTTTCGAAAAACCTTTTTATTCATTGCTAAAATTCTCTTGCCTGGTCTCATTTGGTCGTGCTAAATTTTTAAACGCACGAAAGAAACGTAAACAGATTATTACTTAACGAATAATATGTATATGTATAATATTATAGTGTGAAAACTAAAAATATTATATAACACCCAGCGGATTAGCCTGGGCCAGCGACAGCTATAACTAAGTTTTAATAACATTTTTTTACGATACAGTATATTTCACAAATCGTTTTGACGTCTATCCCAGCATTGACGAAATATATATATATATTTTTTTTAATATTATTTTTACGTTCAAGTATTATTATATTGTTATATTTGTTTTACATCCAGTAAAATAAAGCAATAAACGAAAAAATAATTGTATACAACGCTTTGTATGTATAATCATGGACAGAGTGACGCGTAGATGGGTTGTTACTTGTACAATAATGTCAGTAAATATTTCGATTAGAAAATAAAATATTGTTTGATCTGAATTCGATTGCATAAATAATTTCTGAGGCAGAATCACTGGCAATGACTATTATTTAAATATCAAAATAATTTCAATTAATTGACAATTGTAGGGCAGTAGTATATAGTGTATGTTCAAAGAACGTTGTGTAACACCTATTTGTCTTCACTTATATTAATATTATACTTAAAATATAAATATACGAGTTACATACACTGGCTGTTGGTGCATTAGGCCATGAAACGGTTAGGTCATAAAAATACGAGTAGGACGGCTATAGGGTACCTCATCCCTAGATTATAAGTTTTGTTTACTCACTTGAAGAACCCTTTTTTAATTTTGTCTTTCCTGGAATAAGCGAAATTTAATGGTTTACACACAACTATTCTTCTTGGCTGACCACCCACCATTATATTATTATAATATGGTATTATAATGCGTATAATGTCACATACAAAAATACATTAGGTATGAGTATTTTAAACCGATAATATTATGATTGCTCGAGATTCCACGTAATAATTGGTTAATTCTGTTACCAACAAATCTAAAAAATGTATGTAGGTAGGTACACTGTTTTTTTTTTATATTTATTTTAAGTTCAAATTTGGTTATTTTGTTGTGATTTAAAAATGATATTCGTGGTCTCGATTGAAACTTCTCAAGTATATTATTATATATGTTAGCGGCAATGTGTATAATATATTTAATATATAAAATGACTAGGAATTCTATATAATACCTGGTGGTTTTTAAAAAAGTGTATAGTAAATTTTTTTTTACACACATTTCCCAAATATTTTGTATAATAACTAGACATTTCATAAAATGACAAACAACAAATTGGCGATCTGTAGAATATTGATATAACCCAAATAAATAGATTTCCTTCTATCATAATTAAGACAATTATTAATTTTATTAGCTCATAAAAAAATGTTTATTACAAAGTAGGTACCTATCATTAATATTACAGAATATAATGCATAAAAATGAAAAAAAAAAATAATTTGTAAATTGTATGGGTAGTACTAACATGCAGTTTTTGATTATTATTACTATTATATTGTTCTATAAAATACAAAAATCTATGTAGAACATAGGTACTTATTAGGAATAAATACAATGTACTTATTTAGATTTATTTTAAATTTCGTTAAGACAAAATAAATGTTACTTAAAGTATTCTATTATTACAAAAAAAATCATTATATTTCATATGTTTAAGTTTTTAAAAAGTTGTTAAATTTATTTAATAGAACAATTCACGACTGTTGTGGGATTGTAATATAGAAGGTGCTCCAAGTAAAGTGAAAATATCAATTAAATTATAAGCTACTTCTTCTGCAGTTTTTGTCTTTAATGGTTTTATGACGAAAAATTTAGTTAAATGGTCCTGATGTACTGTTATAAATTTAAAAAGTTTATCAGCATTTGATTGAAAATCGATCAAATCAACTTGACAGCGACTATTAAATTCACTAGACATACGACTACGGTGACAAAATTATCGCGTTCTCTATCGGCAGTCGGAATTCTACTTTATAGATTACAGATTACTAATGGATTTATATATTGTCAAATATCAATAGGTACTGATTATATGGATTTAATATATTACCTATACATTGTTTGGCATTTCATATAATGCTTAGGTAATTTAAACAATTTTATAGATTGCCGGCTGTATTTGGTGTTATATAGAATTCTTAGACATTATATAAAATACCAATATTATACACATTACCGCTAACATATACAAATATTTAAATACAATAATATGTGGAGAAATGCAAATCCACGGAGATTAATATTACACATATCATTCTTTCCATGATATCGCAGTGTTTTGGGTTTTTTCCGACGTAGGTACCCTGCTGATAAAATTGTTTTTTCTTTGGTCAAAATGCTTGATAATTTAATACAAAGTTCCTCTTGAGATTTTACAGTGGTTAAAAAAAAACTCTAAGTATACCTACCTGAACAAATTACATAGAATTTCCACAAACCATATTATTTAATTTTTACACGACAGCGTATTGACATATTTATTAATAATATTATCAAATAAAAACCAAACATTATATAACATAACTCACAATTTTATTCAAGTTAATTTACATAATATACAATAATTTACATAGATATACAATTTACATGTATATTAATTAATACAGCAGCATAGTTAATTATACCATAGTTATTTAGATAGGTATACATTTTTTACAAAACATTCCCCTGTTCGGGATTAGAATTAGATTACATTTAAAACTCATATCGTTATAAGGTGAAAAAGGTGCCAGGATGTTTACATTAATGAGGAAAATAGTGAAGACGAATTTATGGAGTACGAATAATTAAATTAAGAACAACTAGCATATTATGAACATTCGTATATTAAAACCTAGATTACTGTATAATAAACTAATTCATAATTATTTTACTATAAATAACAATGAAATACATACAATATTAAATACTTTTTATTGTTTGCTTAAGTCACAATATAATAAAAATGTCCATGAAAATATTTTTTTCCAGGAGGTCTACCAGAACTGAGTGATACGCAAAAAAAAAATTCGCAAAAACAGACGAAAAATAAAACTCGCGGCAAAGAACAGTAAACCTGCCCTTACTCGGTACAGACGCTCAACGTGGAGGACGCAAACGGTTTGTCCGGCGTCCGGTAAACACGACAGGTGTCCGGCCGGATACAAAAGTGAAAAAGTGCGACGTTTAATTAAATACTTATAACTACAAAAAAATGCAGTGCGAACTTAAAGCGCTAGTGCCTAGTTCGCACCGCACTTCTTTGTAGGAATAAGTTTGATTACTGGTGTGGTGGGAGGGAAGGCGACGTTTAAGATCCTCTGCCCAAATACCTGGTACAAAACCATATAAACTCATTAATTCGTCTTCGTGGTCAATCGCACCGCAACAGAACATTTGTCTGAGGGATTTCTTGGTTCCACAATGAACGCGGACGTCTAGGAGTCACCGCGGTTACCGCCGGTTCCGTCACCTCATCACCACGGGTTACTATTATCCGTTACCACAAGCTGCAAGCCTGAGTCTCGATCACGCTATTTTCTACAGCAGCAGCTGCTATAGTATCATCAATGTGGCGACAGACGATAAGGCGCACGGGGAATCGGTGGAAACTGTCAATTCCAAGGACGTTAAGGACGGCAATCCAACCTCCGGAGCATCGCCACCGGAATTTTCACCCACGGGCATATTGGGTAGCAACAGAGATCTCTTCTTCAAACTAAGGAACTCGCAGTTTCCCGAAGGTTTCTGTATGTTTTCCCTGATATCGTCGACAGCCGGTAGCATAATTTCGGTTGCGGATTTCCATCCGATCTCCAGTGCTTCGACTCCGGAATTTTTCGGCAAGGCCATGTTGGGTAATGACATAAACGTTGTGTGCACCTGAAAACTACGGAAATCACCGGTTTCCGACGGTTTCTCTTTATTTTCCTGCAGACCGTCTTCAACCGGTAGTATTATATTAGGCGCTGATATCCATCCTTGCAACTCTGGTGCTCTGGCTCCGGGATTTGTCCGAACGGCCATGTTTGGTAACGACACAAACCGTTTGTGAATCGTCAAACTATTAAAATCGCAACTGCCCAACGGTTCGGTGTTTATAGGACCGAAGATCATCAAACACCGATTGCATAATTTCTCTCGCTGACAGGTTCTGGATAACAGATGATTTACTTTCGTTTGCTGCACTGTTCGACATGTCGATATTATGATATATGTTGAATATAAACAGATTATTTGAAAAATACGATCATAAATACTTTTAGACCAAAGTAGGTAAATGTATTCGTAATGTGCTCACGACATAACAAATAAATACTGATTAGTAATGAAAAATAAATTTTCCAAACACTTAATATGCAAGATTTTTGTTGTTTTTGTAAACCTGAATGTATCTAAATTCTATATAGGTCGTATAACAATTATTTATGAAGCTTTAAAAAAATATTGTCTGGATCTATCTCGGAAGTCTACTAAATATAATGGTGAAGTTTGTATTTTGTATATTTTGTTTCAATCCATGTAGTTATAGTTAAAATTGTATACTGATTTGATATTTTATAAATCTGTATACATTATAATGATCTAGGTAACGAGTCCATTTTTTTAAATGAGAAAACGGCTATAGAAAACATAAAATCAGCTTAGCAAAACTAGGAATATACCTATACTGAGCGTTGAAGCTGTAATAACCTTCGTACGCATAACAAAAAGTATGGTGTCTATACTGTCTACATAATATATAATAATACCGGACTTTGACCATGGTATTGTCACTCGATATACACAAATGTAGTTGTGAAAGGTCTGTACACATATCGTCGTCCTGGACAATCGTCTTCGATTATTAAAACAGTGATTCTATAAGTTTAAACGCACAGGAAGCACGGTCAGTGACTTAAGTTTAGTTTTTGACACAAAATCAACATTTCATTCATGGCATGTAGAACCATCTTTTTTTTAAGGCACTAACAATGCTTGGTTTTGTTAAACGTGTTTATGCTCAATAGAAATCAATCGATAATATGAGAATGTTTTTATTTCAAGTCCATGCGAATCAAATGTGTATCATTATAATTTTTAATGGTTAATTGCGGATTTCTAATATACTTATCATAATGATTTTCCAAATCCAAATGTTCAAAAATATTGAATATAAAACTAGTTATTAATGGTGAAATTCACTGTACAATATTATGAACGTCGTTATAGTACAATATATACACTGTACAATAAAGTGGTAAAAAGTTCTATTTTTCTATTTGGGTCATTCGAACTAATGGCGGAAACGCGAGAAAAAAAATCTGCATAATTACTATAATTACAACGATCAAACGTTTTTAACTAGTCCAAAGACTAAATCATTATTCGTTTAGTGTGCACATAGGCTTCGATACATTTTCTCTGGAGGCCCCATGGCCGTTATAATAAATTTTGTTTATAAAATAATATATATGATGTTATCAACGGCGTGATTTATTTACCTAACCGACCTTCCGGGATTTGAAATTATAGTGAGAATATATTATAATATATAATACCGATTTATTCAAGTCGAAATCCATAAAATGGTGACGAGAACATATGCGGCGGCGCGAGATAAATACGTTTTTTAATGAATAAACGATTTTATTTTTTTCCGTGGTTCTTGATTTCGTTAATTCACAACCAAAGTTCTAAACATTTTTTGAAAGTATATTCGAATTGGTCATCGCTCGTCGGCAATCAATTTTTATTTTATATTGACATTTTATTTTTGCATAACGATTCAATTTATTCTGCAAGTCGAAAAGCCTTAATATACTTATCATTTTAGACATTGGAGAAATGTTGAATCTACTTATATAGATAAAATCAGTATAGGTAGATTATATTTTAGATGCAAATTGGACTTGTCAAAATTGCTAATAAGAGATCCGATAAGGCATGTCAAAAATAAGGTTTCTATAAAGGATATTTTTTTCTTTGACATGTTAGCTGTATAAACTCTCAAAATTATACCTATACGATTATATTAATATAATAATATGGGTACCGATGGGCTTAGTAATAATTTTTATCGTTTTAGCTTAATGATTATTATTCTAATTTAATGCTTCAACGTTTTTAATTTTTTTTCTTGACGTATACGTACATTAAAATATTATAATATAACATTATTATAATAGGTTTTAACTCAGTTTCAAAACTTATTGTTGGTACCTAATGCGCGTATATCTTGATAAAAGTCAGAAATACATTAAAAAAAATATTGTGCTATGAACTTTTTTGACTTTTAACAGAATATGGCCGCAGTTATTAAGTTGTACTTGAAATAAATCTAAATGTCACGCATATAAAGTTCGAGAAAGTGTTTTTTATTTAATGTGTAGTTATAATACTAATCACTCGGTGTCACAAAATATCAATATAGTACCTATGTTATTTTTAGACAATAATATATTATAAGAGAAATAATATTTCTTGTGTTACTGCTGCGCAATATTGTAATTATCAATTTTAAACTCTAGGTACCATTTATTTATTTATATAAATTCCTTTCATAATAATTTTCATTATAACAGTTATTTTAGAGCGTCAAAATATGTTTTTCTTGACTGTATTTTATTATTATTATTATTATTATTACTGCTGTTGGTTCGACGTGTTTGTAGTACCTACCCGAAATTAAAATTAAAAGCTGATATTAATTACGTTATTAATCGCGAAAACTTTAACGAGTTGAGTATTATAAAGCAACTTATAGCTCATATATATTATAATATTAAACTTTATCTATTTGCGATTAAAATAATAACACAAACTTTAAAAATTGTTGGTGGGAAGTTATAAGAGCCTAAGTTTAATTACTGTTATTTATTATTTATAAATTATAACCCATTGATTTACGTGTGTAAAACTGAATCAAACTATTATTAAAATATAAGGTTGTTCGAAAGTTTAAAGTTTGAACGCAGATCATAATATAATATAATATTATGTACACTGAAATATACCTTAGGAATTGATACGTTATTATTATTTTACTATTTTTTTCTCGTTTGTAATTGATCTGATAAAATGTTTAATATGTTGAACAGCGGTAACATGATTTATAAAATAATTATATTACACTTACCTACCCCCAATGAAAGTATGTCTTTCCAAAATATCTACATATTTTGCTATTATGATGTAGTTAAAAAAGTGTTGAATCCAGGTATAACCCGGGGAAGGGGAGAATAAAATTCCATTGAGGGCATTCGTCCCCTGAAAAACTATACAACTAACAACGAAATGTATTTATTATATCGTATTTACAGTACTCGTTATACGGAGTTATCATCCTTTATTATTTTTATCAACTAACATACCTAATGGCTATATCGGTCACACATTTTACTTCGAAATATTTAGGACATACAGTGCAATGGTGTTCAATAAAATATTATCAATTTTCATCAATTTTTCAATAACGTACACCTTCAGTTTACTAAATTTGGGATATTGTGTATTTGTGTTGGAAGGCGAGAAGACCCATCTCAAGAGTGCAACGAAGAGGCAATCGATTTGTATGCAAGAATAAAAATATGTCTTTTTATTTGTATGAAAATGTGTTTTGTATCAAATGTCAAATTTACTGAGATAATTGTAATAAATAATAATAGGTAATAATAATAATAATATAATTATTGATATTATTAAAATGTTTGACAAATGAAATTATAATTGAAAGAAGTGAGACCCCCCTGGGTCCACAGAAAAATTGTCTCAATTCAACAGTGGTTAAGGTAATAGGTACCTACATATTTATAAATAGAGTAGATGCCTATAATATTCAAACGATGCGAACAGTTATATTGTCCATCGTGAGACCCTGCTTACCCGTAGCACTGTCGAGTGAGAAGTTTACTGTCGGACTTCATGATGGATATATCGTAATCGGTTAGGTTCGGTACATGTCCACGGTAACCCTTTTCTCGGGTTTCAAATAATAATTGATTAGGTAAACGCGCCAAAAGGGCATAATAACATAACGCGTCGCTGTGTTTTGAAATGGGACTAAAAACAACGTAATAATGTAATACAATATTTCTTTAAATATTTTTTTTTCTGATATAGTGCGATGTTTTCTGTTAAAATATTCCACAAAATTGTGAGGCTATAGACTTGAATTATTATTTATTACCTTGTTTTAATGAATATAGTGCTAAGAGTAAAATGTTATTTGAAAATTCAATTTAAAGTTGTATGATAAAACGTATTTTATCTCTTCGTCGTAATAATTGTTTGGAATTTTATCATGAAACTATTATCTCAGAGTGACTGGCATTAGGAAGACATAAATATATTTCGAGTTTCCACTGAGAATTTCCAATCAGAAAAGTTTTCAGAATATCAGCAACGTGTGCAGTATGGTCCATTCCATATTCTATATAGTTCACTACCTACTTCACTTATGGTTCGAAATGGATCACACGTATCTCGTTTATATATTTACAACGTGGCTATTATTTATTTAAATGCATTACCTTCGTGGCGGTATTTGACAGAATGAAAAATACTAGTTTAATATAAAGAGAAATGTATTAAAGTGGAAATGGACCATTTTAAAAAATAATACATCGTTTGGAAGAAGGCGTTTTCAAAATTAATAATATGTTGCGTACATTTTTATATATTATATATTAGATGTATTGATCTATTATAATACATACTTATATAGTTTATACAATATGTATGTCTCGGAAAATGTAAAAACTACGGGAAAACATATCAAATAAATACAATCTTGCAGAATTCAAGACATATTATTTTCATAAAAAGTATTAAATATTATGTCATAATAATATCACCGCTATCAAAGTACAATACATTTCAAATTTGTCAAAACAGTTTTTGTTGTAAAAAAACATTGTTTTTTTTTTCTGTCTTATATAATTTTTCCGTTTTTTTTGACCACATAAATGTTTTTTTATTGTTTTTATATTGAATAGAGTTTAAAACTATGTTTTTATATCTTACAATAATAATATTGTACGTTACAAAATAATATTCGCGTTTCCCATACTACAGCTCGTGTTATCATATGAAAATATTGTTTGTTGTATAATCGACTGGAATATTATTTTGTGATA